GCATCAACCCGTGTTCCTTGCATCGGCAGGCGGACTCTCAACCACTGCGCCACCAGGGAAGCGCTCTCCCCTCTTCTTGAAGGATGAGCATACATTCACAGCTAGGTAGCTCCAGAAGCCAGTTCTTGCCCGTGCAATCCCAGAAGTCTGGCAGCTTTCCTTCATTTCATCCTGTACTGGCTCCTTTCAGTCCAAGCTGGCATGGTTTCATGCTGAGATGGTGGACTGCATCTGAGTCACACAACCTAATCTCTTCACCAAAAGGTTGTCCAGCCACACTCTTGGCCTTCTTTCCAGAGCATGCTACCTGGATAAGCTGAGAACTTCCCAAAGCAAGTGCTGGTTCCTTTTTGCTTATCAGTTCCTTCCTCAATTTCTCATTTCTCCTACATTTTACTGTAAGCAGCAAGGAGAAATAAGGCTGCACTTCCCATACTTTGGAAATTTCCCCAGCAAACATCCAAGTCATTGTTTACAAGTTTTGTTTTCCTTTCAACAGCAGAACATAATTCAGCCAAGTGCTCTTTATACTGAGGATGACCTTCCCCTCCAGTGTCCAATAACTAATGTTCCTCATTTCCATCTGACACCTCACCAGAAGAACCTTTCATGTTCATATTCTAGCAAGATTCTGTTCATAGTGATACATGTATTCTCTGAGATGACTGAAGTTCTTCTCTCTTCTTTCTGAGCTCTCACCAGAATCACCTATAACACCTACAGTCACCAACAGTGTCTTCAAGGCAATCTAGGCTTTTTCTATCATGTACCTTAAAACTTGCCAATCTCTATCCATTACCCAATTCCAAAGCCACTTCCACATTTTTAGCTATTTCTTACAGCAGCACCCCACTCCCCAGTAGTGAATCTGTATTAGATTTTTAGGGCTGCCGTAACAAAGTACCACCAACTGGGTGGCTTAAAACAACAGAAAAGTATTCTCTCATAGTTCTGGAGGCAGAAGTCCAAAATCAAGGTGTCAGCATGGCCATTCTCTCTCTGAAGGCTCTAGCAGAGCACCCTTCCTTGCCTCTTAGCTTCTGGTGGCTGCCAACAATCCTTGGCCTTCTTTGGCCTGTAGATGCCATCACTCCAATCTCTGCCTCTGTTATCACCTGGCATTCTCCCCTGTGTCTGTGTCTTCACTTGGTGTGCACTTTGTATATATGTGTCTAAATTTCCCTTGTCTTTATAAGAACATTGGTCTTTAATCCATTATGATTTCTTCTCAATTTGATTATACCTACAGATACACTGTTTCCAAATAAGGTCATAGTCACAGGTGGTGGACTTAAGCATATCTTTTTGGGGGCAGACACTATTACCCACAATACAAGGAGAATTCTAAACACAACTGGAAACTTCTAAGAAAATGCAACATGGTCCAGATAGCAGCAAATTTTGTGATCTGAACATAGGCTACAAAGCTCCTGGCCGTCAGAATTTCTCCTGATGATGATAGATGCTAGCTTAATCATGTTTAGAATCTTGCAGATAACTTCATCATTAATCATTTTCTAAACAAAAGCATCTTTACTTAGAGAGTTAATATACAAATCTCTACCTTTAATGCTTCAGCAGCCTTGCGAAGTTCCTTAATAACTGATGATAGAGCTTCTGGGTTAATTCCTTGCTCACAGAGCCGTACACATATAGACAGAGTTTCCATATCTAATCCAGTATTCAAAATTCTTGAAATCTCAAGCAGAACTGTAAAAAGACAGAAAATTTTAAAAACAAAATCTTATTACATTTTAAAACATGCACATTAATACTTCTGTTTTTAATTCATGTAATACTGCATAATACCAGAGAACTAGCATAGCATCCCTAGATTTGGAAACTGGCATGTAATACTGTCTTCCCCTTACCTAGCTCTAGAAACTTAAAAATAAATTTACATCCTCCCTCCACAAAACTGCTTTCTACATCTTGGTTTACACTCTACCACTCATTTAATATCTATCTAAAATTCATATATCATAATCAAGATTATTATGAACATTTGTCCACTTTTTAGTATTCTTTTACAATGTAATTTAATTAGTCATGTTACATTCCATTTTATGGAAACATTATACATTACTTAACCACTCTGCTATTTTGTTAGATGGGTCTCATGTTTGCCCCATTAAAATAATATTGTAATAAGTATCTGCACATAGTAACTTAATTTTATCAGAATAAATTCCTAGAAGTGGAACTGCTCAGTCAGTAAAATACCATTTAGATTCTGATTTGAATTGTATGAAAACACATTATTTTGGGATGAATGAACAAGTTAATAATATTAAGCCATCCATTAACTTAAGTCTAAGCCCTTCTGAAAACTTTTACAATATTCATGATGTTCATGATACGGGCCATTCCCACTTTTTCATACCTTACATTCATTTTCACCTCTAGTTCAATTTGAGTCTTTTAAAAAACCTTTATCTTCCATTCCTCTACTTAACTTTTTGAACACTCGAGTACCGTTCTAATGTCTTCATCTGCTAATCCTAACATCTGTGTCAACTGTGGATCTGTTTCAACAGATTAAAATTTCCTCATCATGGGTCATATTCTTCTGTTCTGCACACCTAATAATTTTTGATTGGATGCCGGACATTGTGAATTTTACCTTTGTGGGTGCTGGATATTTCTGTATTTCTATACGTATTCTCAAGCTTTGTAATGAGATATGGTTATAAACAGTTTGATCCTTTGGGATCTTCTAAGATTCATTAGTCAGGACCAGAGTCCCATTTAGCATAGGGCTAATTAATACCACACAATGTCTTGTGAATTATGAAGTTTTCCACTCTGGCTGGTAGACACAGGCTCTATTCCCAGTTCTGTGTGAGCATAATGTACTGTTCCCTTTAATCCTTTCAAATGGCTCTTTCCACAGCTTTCTGGGTACTTTCCTTGCACATGTGATCAATGCTATGCTGAATACTTAAGGGAGACCCCTCTGCGGATCTACAGAATTCTCTCTGGGCGCAGGCTCTTTCCTCTCAGGTACTCTGTCCTGAAAACTCTACCTGCCTTGGTCTCCCTGGACCCTAAGCTGCTGCTCAACTCAGGGTGCCCCCTGGGTTCTGCCTGAGTTACTCCCATCCCCCCACTGCACTGTGGCCTGAAAACTCTGAAGGTAGGAAGCTGGGGAAGATATCTGGCTCACTTCGTTTGTTTCCTGCCTCTCAGGAATCACTGTCCTTCCTTGCCTGATGTCCAGTGTCTTGAAAACCATTGTTCTGCATGTTTTGCCTGGATTCTGTTGGTTGTTTCAGGTAGGAAGGTAAATCCAGTCCCTGTTACTCTATCTCGGCTGGAAGCTGACAGCCCTTTCCGTTTTCATTTCTTCAGTTTTGATATTCCAGCATACTTTGCTTTTCAGTTGTATTCAGGCTGTTATTAATGTTACCTGCTGAATTTATTTCAATAACTCTATTTTAAGATTTCTAATTTCCCCCCATAATCACATGTTCTGGTTTCACAGCTAAACACTTATTTATAATCACTCCTTATTTTGTGGCTGTTGTTTCTGCCTTTACCTACTGGAGGCTATATGTTTTTATCTTTAGCCATTTTTGAGATTTGTTTTCTGCTTCACATATAAACAAGCAGCAAAAGAGAGCGGTTAAGAGTGTGCTCTCCAGAAGCAGACGACCTGGGTTCATTTTCCACTTTCATTACTTACTAGGCAAGGTAACTGCTCTATGCCTTTCTTTCATTATTCTAGAAAATGGGAATAACAATAGTACTTACTTTATAGGACGGTTGTGAGGATTGAAGGACGCACTTAGAATGGTGTTTGGCATATGACAGTGCTCAATAAAAGGGTCAGTTGTTACTACTACTTTCTCTCTCTTTCCCGTTTTTTTCATTTTCACGTTAGTTGTTTATTTTTGTTTTTCATCTACCTTAGGTGCTCTGTGACTTTTGGTGAAAAGCTCACCTTCCACAGGAGGTTTTTCTTGGACATCCTTGGATGTTCTTGGATGGGTGGTCTCACACTGGCTTCAGCCCTCTGGAAGCATCCTGACTCCAGACCCACAAAATACATGGATGATGCTTCTCAATCCCTGGCCTGGCAGATGGCACAATTTGGGCCCCCGGCTTCACTCAGGCAGGGCGGCATCCTTCCCCCAGTTTCATTCCCAACCCCCTGCTATGGTTCCCATCTGCTCCGTTCTTTGGGGGGAACCTCTCTCTTTCTAATCAATGGAGACTTCCTTTTCTCGTTTTTGAACATGGTTCAAAACCATTGTATATCAATGTTATTTCCTGTCATTTTTATATGCTTGGAGCAGAAAGTTGCAGCAAGTGCTCAATCATCATTGATTTTGATAGTGAATGATCAATTTCTTTAATTTTTTGTTTGGATTGTTTTCATAAATGGATTTCCACCTCACTCATGCATATTCTGAGTGGTTAGTGCCAATACTCTAGGACATTACTTATTTTTATTTTGTAGCCAGCCACCTTAACAAATCTACTGAAGCTTCTAACAGTTTTTCTGTTGATTCTCTTTTGTTTGCTACTCAGATAATCATCTGACCTACAAATAACAGTTTCATGTCCTTTTCTGTTTGTTTGTTTACTTGGTTTTTTACAGTACATGGGCCTTTCACTGTTGTGGCCTCTCCCATTGCGGAGCACAGGCTCCGGACGCGCAGGCTCAGTGGCTATGGCTCACGGGCCCAGACGCTCCGTGGCATGTGGGATCTTCCCGGACCGGGGCACGAACCCGTGTCCCCTGCATCGGCAGGCAGACTCTCAACCACTGCGCCACCAGGGAAGCCCTCATGTCCTTTTTGATGTCTTTTTCCCCTATCCTGTGCTATTCGCAAATCTTTCATATCAATATTTTAAAAAGGTACTGAAAGCTGGTATTTTCAATTTTATTTAAAATGCACGTAACATTAATGTTAAAGATGGTGCTGGTTTCGTGCAGCTATACTTTACCATGTTAAAAATGTACAGTCTTCTTTGGGTAAGACTTTAAAATCAGAAAAAAAAAATTTGAGTTTTATTGATAACTTTTCATCAAACACTGAAATGACCAGGCAGCTTTTCTCCTGACCTTGTGAGGGAATACATTATTATTGACAGACCACATTCACAGCTGAAGAACACTGAGCTTGGGGAATCCCAACTTTTACAATAAGCCCACAGCAAGTCTGCTTTTTATCTGGAGGTAGATGTTACTTCATCCCTCATTGCTACTCACTGTCAACACAACCAGAGAAACAGCAGGAGGAAAGAGCATTCAGGGCCTTGAATTCTCGGCAAACAGAGCTCAGGGCTCATGGAAGACGGCATTCCCTACAGTGGCACTGCACGACTTTGGAGGCTGGGTTAAAAAGGCAACAGAGCTCTCTCCAGGCTCTCTCTTGAGACACTCCTCCTTGGAATCAGCCTCCAAGTGTGAAGAAACCCACATGTTCCAGACAGCAACCCCTGCTGAGGGCCCAGCTAACACGAGCATCAACCAGCAGGTATGTGAATAAGCTCTGAGATGACTCCAGACTCAGCACTGTCTGATGGCAATGCACAAGACACTCTCGGGGACAACTACCTAGAGCAGCGGTCCCCAACCTAACCTTTTTGGCACCAGGGGCCGGTTTTGTGGAAGATGATTTTTCCACTGGGGGTGGGGGGATGGTCAGGCGTTAAAGTGAGCGATGGGGAGTGGCAGGTGGAGCTTCACTTGCTCGCCCCGCAGCTCCCCTCCTGCTGTGCGGCCCAGTTCCTAACAGGCCGCGATGGGGAGTGGTCCATGGCCCGGGGGTTGGGGACCCCTGATCTAGATGAGCTTGGGCAACACCCAGGACTGTGAGAGAAAAGTAACTGTTGTGGTTTTAGGCCCCCAAGTTTGGGGTGGTTTGTTACAGGGCAACAGACAACTACAACCCACATTCTGACCCTATTCCAACTGTGTCATCATCTCTCCAGTTCTCTCTCAAATTCTCCTCTCTCTCCAGTTTTCTCCTCATGGTAGACCCTCATCTATAAATGCTATAGTTTTATTTATATTTTTATAAATATTTTATACTTTATATTTTTATTATTCCTGACTTCATGCCTTTGTTCATGCTTTTCTCTTCCCTGCATACAACTCCACGTTGTCTTTCAGGGCCATCTCAGTACTAGTATTTCTTCCGTTAAGTTTTCTTTTAAAAGTCACTTTGATCATTGCGTCCTAACTTCACATACTGTCTGCCATCAGTCAATAAATATTTCTGTAGTGTCTACTGTATAATTGGTACCTGTATGTATTTTGTGCCTACTATGCTACTGCTGGAAATGTAGTTGTGGACAAGACAGATATGGTCCCAGTCCTCAGGGACAGTACAGTCTAAAAGAGACATATGTTAAAACAACAACTGATTCCAGTTATGATACGTAAAATGACGGGAAAGGATAGCATACTTCCAAAACAAATTACAAGGCATCTTACTTAGCTGTGAAGGACACAACTTAGGAAAGACTTGTCTGAAGAAGTGACAATTAAGCTTAGACTTCAAGGATGACTAGAAATCAACCTGACTAATGCAGAAGCAGGAGGAAGGGCAAAGACTGGGAGCCAAGAAAACAGACTGTGCACGAGGTCTTACGCTGGGGAGACCTTGGTAAATTCACAGATTGAAAGGCTCATGTGAAGGCTGTGTAATTAAGGGGGCTGAATACGTGTAAAATACGAGATGAGGCAGACATGAAAATCCACTAAGGCCCTATTAAAGGTTTGAGAACTTTGGGAGGCTATTAGAAAATATAAAACAGGAGTGTGACAAGATCAGGTTTTCAATTTTTAAAGATTTTGGCTGCAAAACATAGACTGGATCCTGGAAGGGGGTAGAACATGTGTGGAGAGGGAGTCCAGCTAAGTTATTGCAATTATGGAGAAAAGACTGGTGGGTGGCATGGACGGGAGAGTTTAAGACAAGTGGTCAAATCTAAGATGAGTGAAGAATTGAAAAAGATTAGTGAAGAGGCGGAGGAAGGGGAGGTCTCACATGAGCAACGGGATTGATGATGGAAGCATGGGCTATACGTTTGCTTCACTGACACTGCCCTGTACACCGTGGACTCTCTTCACTCCTTTTGCTAGTTTACTATCTGATACATAAAGTAGAACAGATGGCCTTCCGTATCCATGGGTTCCACACTGCATTCAAGCAACTGTGGATTGAAAATATTTGGGGAAAAATATTCCAGAAAGTTCCCAAAAGCAAACCTTGAATTTGCCATGAATGTGCAGGCAACTGTTTTCATAGCATTCACATTTATTAGGAATTATAAATAACTGAGAGAGGATTTAAAGTATACAAGAGGATGTACGGAGGTTATATGCAAATATTCTGCCATTTTATATGATGGACTTGAGCATCCACAGACTATGGTATTAGGTGGGTGGGTGGGGTCCTGGAACAAATTCCCCTGCAAATACTGAGGAACAATTGTATTACATCGAAGCCTCTAGCAGGGAAGAGGTACATCCGAATCACAGTTGCCAAAAAACGTAATTACTAGTAGTAAAAAATTAGAGGCATAAGGAAAACTCTAGAACTTTAAGAAAATAAGAATTAAAGTATGAAGCTATCAACAAAGAGTATCTAAAATTTCAAAACGTTGAAAAGCAAAAGGGGCAATTAAGTACATTGGAGGAGGGAGAAAGGTAATTGAAAGAGCCTGATATTTTAAAAAGGAAATGCAGGAAGAGAATGTTGAGGATCTAAGAGAGAGTGGAGGCCCTTATGCAATAGACCGTATACTAAATCAGGGCCAGGATCAATCAGCTTCCTTTCAGAGTAATCTGTGCAGATAAATAAAGTCCATCGCTCTCCCGTCTAAAGTACCTTTATCAAAATCCTTTCATTTCACAATAAAATTACAAATATTCATAGCTGAATTCTACAACCCCTGCAAATCATCTGACATCAGTTAAAATATTAAATCACAGCTGGCTCTGATACTGATGGGAGGCAGGTAGAAGAGGATGAGGAGAAATATACTACACCTTGAACGAGGGCAGAGTCAGACCCAAAAGGTTCTGAACACTTCAGACTGGCTCTCACAGATAGATTTGAATACAGGGAAACCCCACATTAACAGAATTTCAAATAATAATGGTTTTTGAGTAGGTCAGCCCAGTCCCTTGGGCAATTTAAAGTTCTATGTCTGAGAACGAGAGTGGAGGAAGGTGGGTTTATGAAATGGCTGCATTTAGGACTTTTTCAGTTCAGTGTATGGTCAATTATTAATAGCATGTGCACTATGTTTCCCACTGTGCCTCAATCGTTACAGGCAGCATGGAAAATATTTTCATTAACTTTGCAATAATTAAACTTCACATTTTTATGTGAATGATTGTTTTGGACCCAATTATGGCATGATAGCAGTGATTTTCTGTAAGTCTGGAGTTCCAATGGACACAACAGGATCTAACTGCCACATTTAACAGATGTGAGCCACTGCCACTTTTTTACCTTCTGGTTTATGGGCAAACTGCATGTAGAGGAGCAGTGTTCTTTAACTCACATTCTCTCCGTCAGTGTTGGTTTAAAAAAAAAACAACCTGGTCTTTCTTCACTTTTTCATGTTCTTACACTCTCTATAATCTTCATTTTACACAAAGTTCTCTCAGTGAAAATCTTGATGATGTAACCAATACAAATGATCAGTTCTCATTTCTATAACAGGAGTTCCACCAGAGAGAAAATGAGTTTTCTATTCAAATGGTATGCTGTGGCCATATAATTAAGGAACCTATGCACAGCTAACATAAGAAAATTGACTAGAAATCCGGCCATACATGCTCCTTCCTGTTCAGAAACCACACTGGCTTCCAAGCAAAGATAAAAGACAATAATGTTGTACACATATAGTTTCTATGTACATATATCCACTTACAAAATAAAACTAATAAGCTGTGATACATCTAGAAGGATGGTAAAACAGGCTGAATATGGTATTAACAAAATTCTATTTTTCAAAAAAAGGGCAAAGCAGATACTTGGTAAGTAAAATATTAGATGCAAAGGCTCCAATAATAAAAATAATTCTTTGAAAAGGCTTTTTTCCAGGGCAGAAAAAGCCAGAAGCTTTATCAGAAGTCCCCATAAGGGGACTTCCCTGGTGGTCCAGTGGTTAAGAATCCGTCTTGCAACGCAGGGAACGCAGGTTTGATCCCGGGTTGGGGAACTAACATCCCACATGCTGCAGGGCAACTACTGAGCCTGCGCGCTCTGGAGCCTGTGAACCACAGCTAGAGAAGCCCGGGCGCTGCAACCAAACACCGGACACAGCCAAAAATAAATTAATTCAAGTCCATCAGGAGGGGCTCTAAAAGGAAGTGGAGCCTACGGTGGAGACAAAGACACGACATGAAGGCTGACACTGCTTAGTGAGAATTCCATGTTTTGACAGAGATAGAGGCCGATGTGGGTATCCCCTGGAAAGTGCAAACACCAATGTTTACCATCTATCAAACACTCATATATAGGTGGATGCAAATAAAATGGGGACAACGAAAGCGTCTGCAAGTGGGATGACGTCTTATACACAAAAATAACACAAGAAGTATCTTTCAATGGTCACCTTCGAGATGTTTTTACCTAGTTATCTTATTTAAATATTTACAACCCTGGGAGGTAGTAAACGTGTTTTACAGAATAAAAAGAAGCGGGCTCAAAGACGTTAAGTAGCTTGTCCAAGCCCACCACCAGGCGTATAAAGTGGCAGGGCCGGCATAAGAGAGGAGAAAGAAAGAGAGTAACTCCAAGACGCTTTTTTTTCCCCTACTACTTGCGGGTACGCTTTACCCGCGTGCTCCAAGCTCCGAAACGGATAAATACGCCCACAGCCCCCCGGACACCGGCATCACCTGCTCCAAGACGAAACTGGGAAATTTTGATGAAGGGACAACTTGCTCCTCCACCGGGTATTTAAAACGCGTCTGCTTAAGTGCAAGAGACAAAGGCCGTGGCGGTGACCAAACACTCGAGGCCACTGTCCGCAAAGGGACTGCAGTCTGGGGCGCTTTCGAGGCGCCCAGGGCACTGGCTGCGGCGCGGGGTGACGGGGAGCGCGAGGCCGATACCAAAGGGGGGACGCGGGGACCCTGCGCGGGAGGGTGGCGTGGAATGAGCGCGCTGGAGGAAGGACGCGGGGAGGTGGGCGTACAGCCGGGAGAAGGCGCGGGATGTGCGCGGCGCACTGGGTTTGCCGCGGGAGGGGCGGGGCGCTCGCGGGGCTGACGTGGGTCCGCAACGACATACTCGCGACAAACTACACAGGAGCGAAGAGACGACTCTCAAAGGATGGGGCCATCAGTCCTGCAGCCCTGGCGGGTCCCTTGGGAGGATCTCCAAAGATGCCGATCTAGGCAAGAGGTGGATCAGAAGTCCTTGTGGGCCCACCCCCGCCCGAGGGCCTGGGCTCTGGGGAACCGAGACAAGGTAAAGGGGGCGACACGGGTACTCACCGTCCATGGTCTCCCTCACCGCATTCAGATTCGCCGCCGCCGCCCCAGCGCCACTGCTACTCGCCATGACGGAGGCCCGGGGGTGGGGGGGGGGGCGAGCGAAGGGCCTGACCCGGAAGTAGAGCGACTTCCTTTCTCCTGGGCAATCACACTGCGCGTCCCCAGCTCACGCCGGGTAGGCTCCGCCCCTGGCTCTCCTCGCCAGCGTGAGGCTGCGTTGATTTGAATTTGGAGCTTGGTTACTCCGGGAAGAATGCGAAGCGAGGAGTTGTCATTCGAATTTACTACGCGGCCTCGATGCGATTGGCTGGTTCGCGGACAGCGGTGAGATGCGATTGGCCAGTCGCGCGCAAGGCCCGTGCTCTGGTTGGCCTAAGCGCGGAAGCGGGGAGTTAAAGAGTCTGTGCCTGTCGTGGGAGCTGGACTGGCACCTCGGAAGCGCCCTGGAGTCGCTTTGGGGGGCTTCCTATTTGTACACACCACTAGGTATGTTCTTTGTAGTTCCTGGCCTTTCCTCCTGTCTCGAATTGGAGAGCTCACGTAGCCCGGCTCCGGACCGCCCTGCACGCTCGCCTCGGGATGAGTGGAAGCTGCCGGGGAGTAGGTGCGGAAGAGGGGGCGCCAAGGAAGAGTGATCGAGTAAGGTTGGGGATGACACCGGCGTGAGTGTCGTCTTCTGTTCTTCACCTGAGGAGGCCAGCTGCAACGTCAGCCTTCCAAGGAGTGGGTTCTTTTTCTCTAGTTGTAGCCCCCCTTGACGGGAAATAATGCAGTCTCGCCTTCTATCGCGGGGGTCTTAGCCTTTCGCCAAGGGTGTTTGAGAAGAGGCAACCCAAAGCGGTTAATTTCCTAGCCCTAATCAGTCGTTCTTTGCTGACAGGGGCTAATGTGCAAGAAAGGCACCCGTGCACAGAGAGACCAGAGACTTCCTGGTCTCTTGTTTGCTCGCTATTCATAATTGTTTAGTAACTGCAGTTTGTTAGGGAATTGCTGGGCTATCCGAATTATGTTCAAAGTGTGTAGAGACTTGAGATAATGAATTAAAAACTGTAGGTATAGGGCTTCCCTGGTGGCGCAGTGGTTGAGAGTCCGCCTGCCGATGCAGGAGACACGGGTTTGTGCCCCAGTCCGGGAAGATCCCACATGCCGCGGGCCCGTGAGCCATGGCCGCTGAGCCTGGGCGTCCGGAGCCTGTGCTCCACAACGGGAGAGGCCACAACAGTGAGAGGCCCGCGTACCACAAAAAAAACTGTAGGTATAAATTCTTTAGTGGAAAAAGGTTTTGTGCCTATTGGAACATTTAGTTGTCTTGAAGGCGGACCTGAACTTATTTACCTTTGGTTGACTGCTGTTTACAAGCCACTTAACTTTTCTGAACTTGTTAATTCCCTGCAAAATTGTATCACTAATACTTTACCTCTCTAGCTTTCAAGGTTGTTTAGAGGATCACATTTGTGTAAGCTTATAAAAAAAAGCCCAGGAGCCTTAGGTTTTGAGTTAATTCTTTTTGTGAAATGTTTGTTTGTTGAATACGTTTTAGTTGTCAGAATGAATGTCTATGGAACTTTGTACTTTTATTATACATTCTTCTGATTTCTTTTTAGTTTTCTCTCTGTGCTATGGGAGATGTCAGAGAATCAAAAATGCAAATAACACCTGAAACTCCAGGAAGAATTCCTGTTTTAAATCCTTTTGAAAGTCCTGGTGATTACTCCAATCTCCACGAACAAACTGTCTCCAGTCCTTCTGTTTTTAAATCGACAGAATTACCAGTAAGTTATTCTTGACTAGTGTTTCCAAACAACTTTAAATGTAATTATCTTTCTTTACAAGGCAAGTGGGAAATTTATCATGGAACATACATATCTGGAATGTTCTTTTTAATTGTGATGTCCATTATAATGTAGTGGTTGGGCTAAAAATAACTTAGCCGGATTTTTTTTTATTATTTGGCATTTCTTTTTATTTTATTCAATAGATAGCATGTTAGCTTCCTACAGCTGTGAGTGGTGCTAGTTACTATGGTTGATGATATGTGTACTAATCCGTGATAAAGAAGAAACTATGTCATCTAATTATTTTCTGGTATTCAACAAACATTATTTGAGTGCTATTTGTCAGGTACAGTTCTTAGCTATAGAGGTTACACCTTGAACAAGTCAGGGTCATAAAACACAAATTCTCAAAGAGCTTATACTCTCATCCAGGGGTCAGCAAACTTTTTCTGCCAAGGGCCAGATAGTAAATATTTCAGGCTTTGCAACTCATCTGGTTGCTGTTACAACTAGTCACCTCTGCCTTGTATTGTAGAAGCGGCCGTTGGTAGTATATAAACAATAAATGTGACAGTGTTCCAATAAAACTTTATTTATGGACAGTGAAATTTGAATTTCATTTAATTTTCACATGTCATAAATTATTAATATTCTTTTGGATTTTTGTCACCCGTTCATTCTTAGCTTGCAGATTGTTTAAAAAGAAGTCAACCTCTAATGGGATAGACACAACTAAACTGGCAACTTCAAGAGAATATGTTATGTGCTATAACACAAGGATGATATGGAAAAGAATGTGCTCTTTAGGAGATTAGGGAAGGCTTCATCTCTTTAGCTTATTTTTACTGTTATTGGATACAGTGGAGAAGTTCTTTTGAAGTCTCATCTTTTAACTTAGTAAATTATCTAGGAAACTGTAAACAGGGTGGCTGTTGATGCTAGCTACACATTCATATCAGCATGAAGCTAGTTATGCACTAGAGGAAAGTTTTACAGTGATACACTTTATATTGAGTCATTATCTGACTTCATGATTTTAAATTGAATAGTATTAGTTAGTCTTAATAAAACTAACAGAATGACTGCAACTTAATCCTCAAAGCAAGAATGCATGACATCTTGGGTTTTTAGGCCTGATTTTTCAAAGATATATTCTGAATTTACAGATTAGGATTTGGATAAGTTTTTTGGTTTATTGGGTAGTTGAATATAGAAAAGCAGCACTGCTTACCACTCATAATTATTTTGAGGATCACCTATTTTATGAGCTTTTGCAGGCACTTCTGTAGTTAGGACTTTGTTTAATTTCAGTTCATTCTTGGTGAAAATAAAGAGTTGATAACTCTAAGAGATTTTTAGTTTTACTTGGTCATGTTGCATCACTGATGAGTATTAATTGTGCAATTTCTATACCTTTAATACTCTGTGATTTTTCTATTATTATGTAATTTAAACAATCACCCAGAGGGAAGACTTGGATATTTTAAAGAGATATAGTCAAGTCAGTTGATTTAGTGTGATTTGGTTACCATTTGCCATTTAATTTAGTAGTAAAGTCAAATTTTAAAATATGAGCTGTAAGATATTTTTATATTATAACCATTCACATTAATTTTTGAAGCTGACATTTGAAGTTAGCGTTTTGATGAACTATTTTAGTATACTTTTACTCATAAGATCGCTTTCTTTTGTTAAGACTCCAGGGGAATTTAGATGGTCTATTGATCAACTAGCCGTAATAAATCCTGTAGAAATAGACCCAGAAGACATTCATCGTCAAGCTTTATACTTAAGTCGTTCTCGGTAAGTTTTCCTTTTTCGCACCTAAGTGTAATAACGTACTTTCAAGTGAAGAAAGATAGGAAATTCCAAGGTTGAATATTTTTATTTGTAAAGAAATCAGGGAGGAAAAATTATGATACAGATTTATCTTATCTAAATAAAGAGTGAGCTCAAAGAACTACATCCAGCAAGACCCCCTTGCTAACAGTTCCAGATCTGGGTAGGAGTCCTTTTCTTTTAGAGACAATTTCCTCCCTTTGCTACTTATGGGACACCTTTGCTTCCCCAGCACTTGGTAGAAGGAAGGTCATTTTGAAATCTGTATCTTTGTACATGATTATGACTTCTGCCATTGAATTTTTGTTTTGTTTTCCTTTTTGGTGGTATGGGATAGAGTAAACTGCTATTTTATTACCACCTACATTTAGGGAAGCTGAAAGTCCCTTTACCAAGTTAAGACACATTGAATGGAAGAGTATGCATTATCAACAGAGAGAGCTTTCCTAGACATCATCCAGCTTTGACACTTGGGGATCTGATTTACATTATCAGCCTAGTAGTCAGAGCAGCCCTAACTAATGCTTTTGTTGATGTGTTATATAGATTTCCAAGTACTAGTGTGTCTTAGACTCCTGTTACTTAATGATGCCTAATGTAGTGAGACCATATACTTCTTTGGGGGAACATGCATACTTTTTGATTACCAACTGCAGTCATCTGTAATTACAAATTACAGATAGCAGTAGTCAGTAATAGTTTGAGGGACTCTTTTGTTGATGTCAGTTTTATAGTTTGATTTTTTTTTTTTTATATTTGAAATAGTCAAATCCTGATATGATCAGCTTTTAATTTTTGGTACTAAGGTACATGTGTTATCGGTCTAAGATAATGAATAATTCTTTTCCCTTTAACTAGAATTTAATCACACAAAGATGTACACGTATTGAGATGCTCTTGCAAATATTTGTCTGGCTTTTCTACCCCTTCCTCTTTTGGCTTGGTAGCTTGATGACCGTCCCCTCATAATTAATTAATGCACATCCAAAGTGCTATAGCAAAGGACTAGAATGGGGATAGAGCATGAAAGATTTTAACTTAACACTAGATAATACCTTTGAGAGAGAAGGTGAAAAGAATATCTGAAAGCAAATGTGTCACGAATGAGACGAATTTTTTGTTTCACACAAACTGTGTGCTATACTTGGTCTCCTCTCTTCAGTATATTGAACCATGGACCACCAAGAGAGATGCATTGAACACTGTGAGGCACTGAAGCAGTACAGGAGGTTCTTCCTGTCCTGTAGTCAACAAAGTTGTGACACAGCATTTCTTTACTTACTAGTAAATCCTGTATTGTTTGAGCCGGTTTGTGAAAAGAATCTTGGTGTATTTCAGTAGACAGACCTGTAACATAGAAGAGGGGGAAATACCCTGATTTAATTTAACTTCGTCATGTAATTCAGTGAATGGTTATGGCTTCTACCGAGGATAGTGAGTATACTCTTAAAACGTGTTGATTCCTTCTTAGAAATAAGCAAAGGCTTCCAGTGTCTCTTCCTCTCTAACCCAAGTTCCCTATTTCAGTGCTTTCCAGCTTTTTCATGCCATGTTACACATGAAAATGAGAACTGCAAATCATCCTGGTGTAAACAAATGAGTCTGTCCATACAGGAGGTGAACAGTCCTGAATGCTTCTCTCTGCCTTGGCCACCAAGGGTCCATTCAGGGCATACCTGTAATACTGGACCCTGCATGCATCATGCTGGTCAGGATACCCTGCCTTATATGACTCCTTAGAACCTTCCATGATCAGGCTCTCCAGTATTTGGCCAAACTGATTTTCACTGCTTCTAGCCATCACTTGAATATTTCAGGTTGTTAAAGTCCTCTGATGAAGCAGCAGAAAGTTTCTGAATGAGGTATTGCTAGATCAGAGCTTACTAATACTGTACGCTGTTATTGTTATGCCCTGTCATTTTGACCTGTTTATGCCCATAGTAAGATGACGAGAACTGAGTTGGTAATCTCAGAATGGCTGTTCAAGCTGAGATATGTGGATTATCATTGTAGTCTATTTTCTCACAATTCCCTTATTTGAGAGATCCACTTGATTTTAATTTCTAATACACGTACATTATTATAAGCTTTGTTAAGCTGCAAGTTATACATGAAAAAATTTGGAGAGAAAAAAGTGTCTTACCAACTTATTGATGGTAAGCAAGTATTCTTTCTGGGAACAGATTAAAGAAGTGGGCCCTGGGAATTCCCTGGTGGTCCAGTGGTTAGTACTCCATGCTTTCACTGCTGAGGGCCCAGGTTCAATCCCTGGTCAGGGAACTAAGATCCCACAAACTGCACTGCGGCTTGGCCAAAAAAAAAAAAAAAAAAAAAAAAAAAGGTCCTACAAGGCTAACTGCTGAGTCCTTGGCAAGTATATGCCTTGTGCTTGAGACCTGACAATTTATATTAAATCTTACAGCTGATAAATTTGGGGTGTTATAATTACATAATGTATCAAAGTGGGAAAAAAAGAATTTGTTTGGACAAAGTTTTATATTTTATATTTCAAATTTTATATTGTTGATATTTCATTTCAGAATTAATAATTTTGCCTGTTTATTTAGAACTGTAAGGATGATAGTTTTTTTCCTTTTATTTCAGAGTAAGAGTTGATTCTAAAATTACGACTATGATAAACTTGCTATAATTGAAGAAAAAGAATTTGGACAATTTTTAGATTTCTTTGGAGTGACATACTTCTTAATTTGTGGTGATTAAAGGGCAAAGTTTATTCAAATTACTTTCTTTACATTGTTAAGAGTAATTTAAAAATTGTATCAATGTAAGCCTTTTAAAAGAAAATATTATTCCATTCCAACTGTGAATGGAAAGGGGGGAGGTAGGCCTAACAGCACAAGGCTGAATGAATATCTAAATACTGTCATTTACGAAATGTGATAAGGTCCCAATTTTTCTTTTAAAATGAGCTTAACATTTGCCAGTTTCCAACGGGGAAAGAAACGATTTCTTTGAAAGGTTATTATTTTAAATGTTCAATCTGCTGAAGTAATGGCATGGTTATTTTTCTTCTTTATCTCTGTATAGAATAGATAAAGATGTGGAAGACAAAAGACAAAAAGCCATTGAAGAGGTAACTTAAAACTGTTACTGATCACGAAGCTAGTTAAGCATCGATTCTGCGTGCACAGCACCTCTAAGAGAGGAAGACTTCCTTCAGATCCTTTCCTGTCCCAGCTCCCACACCAGCCTACCCGTCCCCAGTCCCTCTCAGAGCTCCCCTAAGACCAGTGTTTTTGAGCTGTTCCAGCGCCTCTCATTGTAATGACTGGTTGAGTGCTTTTCTCCCCGAGACTGAATTCTTATTTGGCCAGTATTGTGCTTGTTCATCTTTTCATTCTCACGACCTAGCACAGTTGGTCTTCCTTGTGCCTTGGATGAGCACAAACCATTGTTTCAAGTTGGAGTTTACATAGAGCAAGTTGAATATTTTCAAGCCTTGAAAGTCTAGATTGGCCTCAGTAACGGTTTTATCTTTTGTTCCTGTTAGTTCTTCGAATTTTTAAGACACAGAATATATTTCATGAAATATAATATACTGATAAATAGAAAAAGTATATCCCAAAGGTAGGTTGTTTTTTTTTAATAAAACTAATGAACTTAGTTTTTCACTTCTTTCTTTCTTTGTTTGCTGAACTCTTAGAGTATAAAGGTTGTCTATCTAGATATTTGCTCAAAAGTCTTCATGTCATGGCAGCATTTCTTGTTTTTCCTTTTTCCCTCACTAGCCCCCTCTATTCCTTAGCTGCACTTGGATCTTCTGCACCCCAAAAGACTTTAGCTATGGCATGTTCAGAGATCCAGTGATGTGCTGCCCCCCATATTTCAGATATAGCCTATTTCTTAGGAAATCGTTTCATATGCTTTACTCCTGACAAATGTTATCTACTTCTTAATCTATCTAATAACTTCAAAATTTTAATTCTAATCCAGTCACTTGATTCTTCTCCAGTTGAATAGTCTCAGACTCTTTCC